CCCCAAAACCCCAAAACCCCAAAACCCCATATGGTTTATTTTTCTTTCATTTTCAAATGTAAATTATGAAATTAATATTCTTGTTACCATAAAACTCACAACATAGTATCTAATTACTATCAAATATAGTTTATTGTTTTAATCTCTTTTTCATGTTCTTTCAATTGATCATCCTGAGCCTTCTATATTTCTTTCTTTGTTGGCACAAACCAAATAAAAAGAAAGCTTAAGATTATCGCTCCTATTTAAATCATTACCAGGACATGATATTTGTCAAAATTTTCATTAGTAACTCCAAAGTATTTACAAAGTATTGATCCAAAAAGAGGTCCTCCTACATTCTAAGCAAAACTTTGAATTCCAGAAAGGGTAGCAAATAAAGTAGCTTCAATATTGAATGGAGTAATTTTAGTGAATAAAACCACTGAAGGAAGGAAATTCAAAGCTAGATTCATTGTATCTTAAATAATATTAGTGAAGAACACAAATGCTAGATCATCTATTATGCCCAAATTGAGTCTCATTATTAACGTAAGCTTGCAAAGAGAACAAAATAGGAAGCCTAATTAGCATAGCTAGAACAAGTTTCTAAATTCCCATTCTTGGAAATATCTATTGTAGATCATTGTACCCAAAAGCATTGAGACATATGAAACAAAAGTTAGCATACTATATGTCATTTTGCTAAAGTTAAGAGCTGTTAACTAGAAATAGTAACTAACATCGTTATATTTGGGTACTAGTACTCCAGTAAGCATAATGTAAACGAGAGTGTTAAACACCTAAGGGGATTATAAGGCTTTTTTAATACTTTTCATATTTTTCCTGAACTCTTTTTTGGAGAACTTTTTTGAACTTAGCGGGTCTTAATCTATTTCTTTATTTAACCTTAAGCCTAGGAATGATATGAGCAATCCAAGTAAACCACAAAGTAAGAAGCTACGATGAGGATCAAGATATTCAGTTAGGTAGCCTGCGCTAAGAGACCCAACCATTCCACCAATGGCAAGCCATATCCAAGTATAACTATTCAAATCCTCAGAGCCATGAATTGGATCTCGTCTTGCTTGCATAACCATTAGAGCATCAATGATTGAATCATTAAAAGCTACATTAATCGCGTATAGTGTCAAGCAAATAGTTATAGTATATTTATCATTCGCGAGATTAGAAACTAGAGGGAGAAGAAAAATAAATTCCAAGAAGCCATTCATTGCTATATAACTTCTTCGTTTCGATCCAAAAACAGGTATATTATCCGCAATTAGCCCATATACAACTTTTAAACTCCAAGGAAGGTAAATAATTGAAGTAAGAATCTGTGACTCAGCAGGTTCTATTTTCAAATACTGTTTGAAAAGATCCATCACTGAAAGATCAATAAATATCTTGAAGCCTTATATAAAGTAAGACACAGTCATTACCTAAAGATATGACTAATCAAAAGTCCTAAACAACTTTAGCATCCAATCTACTAATGAATGCTAATCTTCCTCAGATCCTTTCTTTTTCTGCCCGCCTTGCGATGTCTACTTAAGCTTAGCATCAGTTTTCTACTTGACCTCCGGTTTAATTAATGAAGCAGTATCTTCCCCATCATCCTCATTCCTGAATTCCATTTCATAGTCCTCAAGATCAAAAGTGCATTCGTTGCTCATTTTAAATAATTTTTATGACTTTTTATACTCAATTCAAATTTCATAATTTTATTGGATTATTGGAATTGCGGGGTTTTGGGGTTTTGGGGTTTTGGGG